AGCTTTATCTACGAGGTTGACCTGAGCCGCCGTAACCCACCCACACAGAAACACTAACCAATCAAGAGACGGTGCTGCCAGCGACGGGAAGCCGCCACCGACCTCACCGTCGCCTCTACAGTGCCATCACCGCGCCTACACTGCTATGACAACAGAGGCTACGTCGTTGCCGCAACTGCCATAGGACGAGGTACATCAACAGTTCCCCATCTAAGAGCTATTTACCCATTGATCTGCACCTAGAGGTTATAGAAATACTAACAATACCTCCATGCCATTGCGGCACCGCAAGCAAGCAAGAAAGAAAACACCCGCTGCTACTTTTGCCCACTTTGCTGAGCCTGAATACCTGATCAGAAAGTAACAAAAAGAGTCATGGACACATGAAAGTATAGATGAGTTTTTATGCATTAGTTTTATTTAGCACAACTGAGCATGGGGTTAAAGTATACCTTGTGTTCTGAATAAAGTTTATCAGACTTAAAATCCTAATCGATGCATGCATGCGTGGTCCTTGAACTGAACAGAAGGTTTGATAGAGGCATTATTGCGTGGACCGCAATATAATGTATGCCATCCGCATTGGATGCTGTGATGGTCTGTTTGTTATATTTGTCTTCCTGGCCAAGGAGGACTAGGAGCATGGCTGTGCAGATTAAGATCTTCTCTTATGAGCTAAGAATTACTGTCATACTGGAACCCAAGTATGTTACAACAAATCAGCTGGGAAGTATGTGCAGTTAAATGAGGTAGGATTTATCTGAAAAAGATGAAGCAGAGAAACTGAAAAAGCAGTGGAAATCGTCAAGTGAGCAGATCATCGACGTGCAGGAAGGCACTTGTTGGGTGGAGTGGAAGCTAGCTGCAGCCGCACCTGCCTTCTTTCAAAACACACACACACACACAGGTGCAGCTGTCATTTGTTTTGTTTTGTCTGGGGTCTGATCCAGCCACTTTCATGAAAAATTGTAATACTAATTCTGGACTGCAAAATGGGAGCCACAAAACTACAATTTCCAAAAGTTTTTGCTTGTGTAACTATTTGTATATTTGTCTAGTCTTGGATCTTCCTTTGCCTATCATGGATGAGTTGGAGTATGGCCTCTGGCCTGTGTCTGTAGCAACTCATGATTGATCATGTATCCATCCGCTTCATATGGATGTTCTTCTCCGTCTGCATGCCGGCCGGCCAACATGGCTGGTGATTACTTCCTCACCAACGAACTGAATGACAGGTGGAGGCGTGGAGCATGGCCAATCAGTCGCTTGCTTGATCTCAAGCAGCATGCAGATGCTGCTCACTGAAGGAATTCACATGGTTTAATGCATCATTTTCTTTTGTTTCAGAACAATGGTAATCACGCCTTTCGCTAGACTATTGTGCAAATATAATGTAGCCCTGGTGATTAGTGATTTTCTTGTTGATTTGTAAAGATCACGACAAATAGGAGGTCAATTAAGCTTATCAGAGGACTCCAATTGTTGATCAGCTAAACAATGACCTATGACACGTAAGTTGTGTGGATTTGGTTTACCACGTATAAACAAAAAAAAAACTCTATTTGCGGTGCCTAGTGTAACATCCTTGGTGTTACACCGTTAATCATCTACTAAAACATGTCATGAACATCATACTTGTGTGTTAATGCATGTGGTGAAGTGAGTAGATAATGCATTGCAACTAAAACGATCAACAAAAATGCGAAACGAAAGTTGCTCCACGATTCGTACAGTTAACAAGTAGGGTTTAAAACCAATTTTTATTAAGCAAAAATACTATAGAATATGTATGTGATACTTAAATAAAGTTGGAAGTGCAAACTTTGTAGATGACAATGAAATACTTGCTGTCAAAAAATGATATTACTAGCTACTATTTCCACTAGCTTAGAAATCGCAAATTGAAATCAAGTTCAGCTCAAAAACTTAGAAAATTTTCAAGTTTGTCAACAGCTAGACATTGCTATGTTTAGTAATTTATTTTGAGAGATTGGGTTAAGGTGTGGTGTAGTGTTATAGCTCGATTTGGTAGTCTCATGTGCCATCTTGAGCATGGTGAAGATGGTTTAGGTCCCGAAGCAACCGTTAAGTTTTTATGGTCACTTTAAAATTCGTGCACGACACGGTTTCGGGCTCGTTGGCTGCGTGGGCGCGATCACCGTGCTCGGGCGCTCGGCGTCGTCGCGTTGGTCGTGCGTGGCTGGCCGTGGCCGCCTCTGGCCTGGCTATGGCTCGGCTGCTGCTGGCCCTACCGCACAGGGCAACTGCCGCCGCCGCGCCACGACGAAGCCACTGCCGGCGGCATCACCTCGCCATCGCGTCCGCCCACTGCTGCCTCGCCACACTGCCGACCCACCTCACGCCGCGACTCTGTCGCTGCCGTCATGTCACTTCCGCACTCGCGTCTGCTCGCTGCATCGCGCTGCGTGGGCCGCATCATGGGCCGCGCGTGTGGGCTGCGCGGGAGAATTCGATTTTCTTTTTCATAAGGAATTAGAAATAGTTTTTAATATAATTTTTGAGCTAATCTTTGGTATATCATATAAAATCATGTAGGTGTCCAAAAATTATGAAACCAATTTTGTTAGGTTCCTAAAACTGTGATCTATCTATTGGTATGATTAGTTTATGCCTATCTGTGATGATGCTGAGATATATTAAATCAATTGAAAGTATTTAAAATTATTATGATAATATTTGTAGGAATTGTTGTGGCAAATCCATGATAGCTTTAACTCTGAAATTTCTGTAGTAGCTTCATGGCATTATTATGTGCTTGCTGTAATTTTTGTAGCCCTAAAATAGAGTATTTAATATGGTAGCTAAATACCCATTAAGGATAAATGAATAATGACATGATATTGGTTTACAAAAATTAAGCACTTGTAGGGTGAGCTTAAAATCTATTTGTTAGAGATAATGATTAGCTTAGTATCTTAGTCATTAGAGCTAGCTTAGTGGCTTAGTAGATGTATTCTTATTTTAAGAATTGTTGTTGCCTTAATATTAAAGGTTGCATCATCATTGCATGCATGTAGAGAACGAGTTGATGGAGTTCGTGACCACCGGAGAGCAGGAGTACAAGGAGGTGATCGAGGAGTACGAGGAGGAGGTTCTCGTACAGGATGAAGCCTTAGAGCCACCATCGACTGACTTAGCTGACACCCCGCCTGCCCAAGGCAAGCACCGGTGCATAACCATTATTTTGAATAATCACTATATATATATATGTATATGTGATGTGCATTTACGTTACAGGATTTATATTGAAACTACATGCATTGATAAACCTACCTGAGTCCTACTAGCATAGGTCGAGAAGCTGCTATGCTTAGGCTATCGGTAGCGTGAGTAACCTACCGTTACTCATAGGTCATTATTATTATTACTCTCATGATAAAATGGTGAAAGGAAATGGAGACCAGGCAGGGATATAGTATGGGTATTGGTGGGTGTAATAGGTTGTGTCCCGCGGCCAACGGGGCATAGCTTGGATACACTGTTTTCCCTGTCCGTGTCGGTTAAGGACCGTCCGTTGCTGTGGATTTTAGTCAGGTCATAGACTTATTATTCTGAGCACATACTTACTTATGGGAGCGGGATGACTCGTTGCTCTCTTGTCGTGGGTTCTGGCTCTTTCCAGACCGACTGTCGGTGTTTCGTGTTACCATCGATGAGTAAATTTCTAATATTGCGCGTCTGGCTTGGATGGTGTGCTTAGAAGACACGAGGTTTATACTAGTTCGGGTAGAAAGTCCCTATGTCTAGTTCGTCGCTGCTGCTCATGTTACTAGCACTAAAAGTTTGTAGTAGGGGTTACAAACGGGCGAGAGAGGGAAAAGATCCCAAGTCTCTAGTGGAAAGAATGAATGGATGCTGAGAGCTCGATTGATGCTCAGCCGAGTGTTCATGTAGTTCTCTTGTGTTGATCTAGATTGGATCTTGATGGGTCGATCAATTCAGGCCCCCCACCGTGGGGCGCACTGCTTTTTCTTTTATAGGCCAAGGGAAAGCATGTGTTACAGTGGAGGAAAAGAGAAGAACGAGAGAGAGAGAGAGGAAAGCCTTAAGGATCGCCGGATCCTCCTTGTCACTGGTGCCATGCCTTGGGTTGTCGACCTTGTAGATGTCAATAGGGATAGCTCCACATCGGGGCCCTATCCATCACTAGTGCCATGCGTTGGCGTCGTCTGCCGGTCATGGTGTTCCATCCTGTCCCGACGGACGTTGTGGTGAACTGACGTGCATGTCATCGTTCGTACGAGGGTTAGGCAGAACAACACTGGCACTCCCGACGCTGTTCTTGATGTGAATCCTCAGGTATGGCCCGTCATGGCCACGGGTTACATCGAGGCATGCTAGTCTCTTCCCTGGTGTCGGAGCTTTGACCCCGGCCCATACGCTTGGACTTGGAGTGGTTGGCGGCGGTATGGGTCCTCGTCGGGCGAGGCGGAGCCTACACCCAAGGGGTGGGGCAAGGCGGAGCTCAAACCCAAGGGTCGGGTGAGGCGGAGCCTGTGGCCTTAAGGTCGGGTGAGGCGGAGCCCACGGCCTCAGGGTCGGGCGAGGCGGAGCCCGTGGCCTTGGGGTCGGGCGAGGCAGAGCCCGCGGCCTTGAGGTCGGGCGAGACAGAGCCTGTGACCTCAGGGTCAGGCAAGGCGGAGCCCTCCCCTAGAGGTTGGGCGAGGCGGTTGGGCGAGACGGAGCCCGTGACCTTGGGGTTGGGCGAGGCGGAGCCCGTGGCCTCAGAGTCGGGTGAGGCAGATCCCTTCCCTAGAGGTCAGGCAAGGTGGAGCCCGCGCACCTAGGGGTTGGTTTGAGCCGTAGTCGAAATGTCAATGGGGAATTCCCCATCAGGGGTTACTGCCCCATCCCTGTCCCCACGGGGGCAAATTTCCCCCGTCCCTGTCCCCGTGAAGGCTCACGGGGAGCACTTCTTCCCCATCCCCGTCCCCGCTCGGGGATTTAATCCCCTCGGGGATCCCCATCTCTGCATCAGCCTAGAGGTTCTCACCGGCGATGATGGTGAGGTTGGTGATGATGGGCTTGGAGTTGAAGGTGAGCTCTCCGAGCGTGGTCCGGTACTGGCCGAGCAGCTCGTCGACCAGTGCTTGCTCGGCGACGCTGGCGGCGCCATTGGAGGAAGCGGCGGTGGCATAAGATCTAGGGTGCGGCGGCGGCGGCTGCGCGAGGCGTGGATTCTTGGCGCCACCGGGGTCAGGGCCCATGGCGGATCTATGGGCGGAGGCGAAGGCTTCCATGGGGATCGCGGAGGCGGAGGCATGCATGACTGGCGGGTGGGCCATGGGCGGGCAGCAAGCTAGGGTTTGGGGTGCATGGGAGAGGGAGAGAGCGGGAGAGCTAGGGTTGGCAAGGTACCGTGCTCCGGATCTGGCTGCCGGGATGGGGAGAGGAGGGGGCGCTGCCGAGATGGAGAGGAGATCCACGCGCGGTGCCTTGCTCCTGATCCGGGAGGTCTCGCCGCCACGAGCCCTCACCGGAGGGGAGGGAAGGGTGCGCCACCAGCCACCGGGTTGGAGAGGGGAGGGGTTGCCGCCAGATGGGGAGGGGAGGGGGCGTTGGGCTGGGGGAGGGGAGCGCCGCCGAGGGAGACAGAGAGAGAGAGAGAGAGGAGGAGGAAGAGGAGAGGCATCGGGGCGCTATTAGGGGCGTGAGGGAGAGGGAGGCATCGGGTCCCTGCGGTGAACGGGGATGGGGGCATGCATACCATCCCCGTCCCCGTCATACCCGACGGGGATGATTTTTCCCCATTTAATTCCCCATGGGGAGAAAATTTATACCATCCCCGTCCTCTAATGGGTGAATTCCCCATGGGGAATCGGGGAATGGGGCCCCGTTGACATCTTTAAGCTGTAGTCATGCTCTTGACTGCTCCTATGAATCAATGTTGATGACCATTAGCTCCTCCTCTTCGGGTACCCTAGTATTGGTCCTCGACAGTAGCCCCTGAGGCTACGGAGGTGTAGAAAACTCCTTCGGAGGCTTTTCTGAATGGGAGGACTCTGAGGCCTTACCCTTCCTTTTTCATCCACGGCATGTCCTAGGGATGGCGATTCTCTTTCGTCGTGATCGGACCCCTCGGGGGTATAGCCATGATATTTGGTGGGTCAGAAAAGGTCTTTCCTAATTCTGACCCCTATGGGGGTCTGTCGTTCTGCGACCGCGCGTTCGGTTTCCTTGCGAGTCCAACTTTTCTCGAGCCCCCACCCATACCAGGGGTCCAATCAAGGGTCGGCTCGTCTTTGTGATCGTTTTCCCTCAAGCGTTTTTTCTGATAAAAACGGAGGGGCTGTACCGTGCCATGATTTTCCTCTATGGACGAATCATGGTGCTTAGTGAGCTGTTAACAGGCTAGTCCAAGTGGGGCCCTAGTATCCCATTCGTGGGGGTCTGGCTTGGGTCAGCTGGTGACCGACTCTAGATTCTCAGCGGTCAATCCATATAGTTCTCGGGTCCATTCGACCGGTCCCGAGGGCTCTTTGCCTTTCTTCGAGGAAAAACCGTGGATTGTATCCGGCCAAGACTCGAACGTGGACCAGGATGCCCGTGGCGCTCATGCGCCTAGGTACTGGCCGCTAGTAGGCCCATCCCTTTCCACCCCTCGCTCTTAGGGTGCCCCAGAGCGACCGTGAAGCCATCGGTGGGCCAGCCTTCAAACTCCTAGGCCTGAATGGGCCATAGGAACATTTTCAGCTCTGATCCCTCCTTACCTGCAACGGTTCACATCCATCCATCCCCACCTCCAATGGATCCGTGGTGCCGTTCGGACATCACCTCCCAGCGCATGGAGGGCCTCGTCCATCACGGTTTTCTTCGCACGCGGACCTCGGCCAAGAAGTGGTTGCTGTTCGGCGACAAGGATTCTCTATCGCCGCCCGACGGCTACGTGGTGTCGTTCGCCCACTTCCACATGCGTGGGCTCGTGACCCCTGCCACAAATTCCTCTAGGGGCTACTGCACTTCTACAAGATCGAGCTACAACATCTCAATCCCAATGGGATCCAGCACATGGCGGCGTTCGTCGTGCTATGCGAAGAATTCCTAGGGATCAGCCCCCACTTCGACTTGTAGAGGTATTTCTTTACCGTTAACCTCTAGAAGAAGAGGGAGAGGAGCGGTAGGCAGGAGCTGCACATGCCGATGGGGTGTGCCAGCATCCAACTTCAGAACAATTAGGTCAGCGAGTACTCGTCCATGTGACTCTCGACGTTCAACAAGGGTTGACACTCGCAGTAGTTCTACCTCAAGAATGATGTCGCCCCCTGTTTACACTAGAATTTGGAAGAAGGATCTCAGAGGCTCGAGAGTTCCCAAAATCATGTCAGCAAGGGATCAATTGCATGCAGATCGAAACCAGCTGATTCAGATGTAGCACTAGAATCGGCTTTCTTCAGATAGCGCCAGCAGATAACGACAGAGGCTATGATCGGCGCTGGGACGAGACATGTTGGACTCTACAAAAAGGGAAAGATTAGAGTCCAAGTTATCTTAAATTAGGAATGTTTTCATTTATGCCAAAGTTTGTAACAATTCGTGCTCGAGTAGGATTCATGTTCAGGTTCTGGGTATAAAGATCAAACCCCGGCTATTGTAAAGAAGACACAATCAATCAAATACAAGTCAATTACTTTTTTTGGCTTCGGCCACCCCTTAGGAGTAGGAGTAGAGTAGATCTCGGCGAGTTCTTCAGCGAGTATGGCTACATCGATCCGGTCAACATCCACTGCTTGTCTGTAAGTACCGTCATGGTTTATACCTCTGTTCATATGGCTGCATCGATCTAGTTGACCCCCACTGCGACTCTGGTATAGGCTAGTTATCGACTCTTGCCTAGTTCAAGTATGGCCTGTGTGATTCTGCCTCACACCCCACTGCTTGAACTAGATCAAGGTCAAGTTATCGGCTCTACCTTAGAATGACAGTCTTTGGTAGATTCATTAAGTTACCGATATTGCTTATTGCTTTCATTGTTTATCTAATTACAACAATATCACTCTGTCCGATTGAGATTGATCTGGATCGACCTTATATCTTATTTGACCCATCGTTTGCTAGTCTAAAACTGATCTAATCTACACCTTAAATGATGGGTTATGTTTTATTGGTTGTTTTATATCAATCTTAATCGTGCATAGCGTGCGGTTAAGGCATGTTCGATCTTGAGTAGATCTATCGGTTAGCGAGAACCGTTTCATGGCCCGTTATCATGGCCTGTGGGATTCTGCCTCGCACCCCACTGTTAGCACTGTGGGGTGAGGATCATTAGTTGGTAGATCCGTTCCTAAGAAGGCATGACCTTAACTGTGTGCTATGCCTGAATCGGCTGTTTAGCCGATATCGAGCGCTTTCACGAAAAGTTCACATTACAAGATCATTGAAGTAGAGATAAGTTGAAAGTCATGTTAGCCCTATGATCTTGTTATTGTATTACGGCCTACATGATTCTGCCTCATGCCCCACTGATATTAATAATGAGTTAGGGTCGTCGAGTCTATTGTTGTTTCTACGGCCTGCATGATTCTGCCTCATGCCCCATTGGTCATGGTGATAGATGAGATCTAATATGTTCATTAGATTTATCTTTATTAAATGGTTAAGTGGTGTTGAATTGTTTCTTTATATAAAAAGGGGTTCGGTTACTTGCAATCATTGGCTCAGTATAAACCGATCATTATTGATATCTTATTGCCATTGATCAATATTTGCTTAAATAATATTTATTCTGAATGATAACCGATTCTTCTTACACAACCCCATGAGCTTTAACCAATTTATTCTTATGAATATGCTGAAATCGACTATTTAGTCGATCTCCTCTCATATCGGCTCTCAGAGCTGCACATTCAGGACTGTCTGGCAACACCGGCACGTTCCGCCCTTAATTACTGATAAACTTTCTCTCATTTTCAATTGCAGGGTCAAATTGACTGGCATGTCTCGGAAGGATTGCGTAAGATCGACTACCCTTGCATTGAAGCTAGGTGGATCTCTGCTCCATCGAAGCGGACCCTTTCGACTTCTTCGCGTGTGTCCTCGAGATGGAGACAAAAATTGCAATAATATTACATGTTTCGCACGCTTCGGTGGGACCCCACAGTCGTCATGGCAGCTCACAACAATGACAACATCCTTATGGTACATTATGAAGACCTACCTGATGAAGATAAGGATATCATCAACAAAGCTACAGAAGAATTTCGGAAGAAGTGTTTGTTGTCCTACACCAAAACACGTGACATCACAATTATTCGGAAATTTCCACTACCAAGAGTTCTACTACACGGACAGACATATACAATCAAAGCTGAGGACAGGCGTTTCTTTGTGGAAGCCATAGACAAATCTATTTCTTGATGCCATATCAAGCCGCAATGAAGCTTTCGTTGACGCATTTGATAATGCCATGAAAGAGGCGATTCATGGGATTCCAGTTGGTCAGGTTGGATCAACTTGTTACAACATTACAGATCCGTCGACCCAAGGGAGTAATCAAGTCGGTACCAGCCATCAAGAAGTAGGACTAGTTGGTAATGGTGACGTCTAGGCACTTCAAGGTTCATCTAAAAGGGCTCAAGGTATTACTTCGAATCAGATACAGTACAATCCTATACAATCCTAGACCGTCAATACAACATGTGCAACAGCCGACGGGGCAAGGTCAGAACCAGGTGATCAATTTTGGCACGTCAGGCCACATACCGTCGTTGGCTCAAAAAATAGCATCCTCAATTCAAAGGATCCGTAGAGATATAGGTCCTTATGTCTATAATCAGAGACTTCAAGCAGCAAGCCAGCAAAGGACTCAGCAGATCGAGATTCCACAAGGGTATCATTATGGCACCGATTATAATACCCATGATGCCAAATCTAGGATATCAAGGCACATGAGATTTCAATCCACAGATGGGTCAGCAGGTGCAGAGAAATCCAAATCTGCAAGCTAACGAGTTGCTACTCAAGGTGACCGAGATGATGAAGAATTAGTTTGGCCTGAAGCCAAAGGGGCTGACCTTTTCGTACAAATGCCCATATCTAGAATGGTATGATTTGGTCGCCCTTCCCACAAATTACAGACTTCCAGAGTTCGCCAAGTTCACTGGTCAAGACAGTACAAGCACGATGGAGCATGCCAGTCGGTATCTTACACAATTGGGTGAATCATCAGTTGAGGATGCCCATCGAGTTTGTTTCTTCTCCTTATCCCTATCAGGGCCAACCTTCACTTGGTTCTCATCATTGCCCGTCAATTCCATTGCCAATTGGGCTGACCTAGAGAAGAAGTTTC